TATGTCCTATTTGTAAACCCATAGGACTATATTTAGGATAAACTTTGAACGTAAACGTTTTCTTTTTCTATTTTTCTTTGCGTTTTAACAGGAAACGTAGTTAGGTTGAAGACAGGAGAAGAAGGCTCGAAAAGTGAGAGGACTCAGAGGAGTGGGACTCTGCGAATCTGGGACTCCGACAGGACTCCTGGAGTCTGGGACTTAGAGTATGGGAGAGGCCCGGAATGGCTGAAACTGGAAACAATGGAAAGTCTGTGAGTCGTGAGAAAGGCTCAGCCGAGGCTTCGCCGCCTCAGGCCTGAAGGCTGAGGCCCAGCCGCCCAGGTGACCAGGTCTCTAAAAATGTACGCAACAACAAAAAACAAAAAAGGAATTCTAAATTCTGTTTGATTTAGAAGGCTATGAGGGAATGCACCAATCACCATATCGGCAATTCGGTATATAACGTTCGGTGGTTATTCGTTTTTTTAGCCTCCTAAATAAAATATGAAATAAAAAAACAACAAAATAGAGCTGGTCCGCTAGACTTTGGTTTATGACAACGACCACAAAAAAATACGGCAACTATGCACATGTACATAAAAAAAAGACCCCAGGCCCAGGCCACACCAAAAGCATTCCGCATTTTAGTGAAAAGTAAAAATATAATTAAATTTTAAAAGAACAATGGGTCGTGTCTTTTACAAGCCCATCGTTCGAGGACTGCAAGGCACTGAGACGAAGTGCGAACAATATTTAATTATATTTATGTCTGGTGAATATTAATTGCAAGTGTTGTACGACAGTAAGACGCCAGCAGCGTGACCCTCTGGTTATTATCTACTTTTTGTGCGAAACTCACGTCTTCCCGGGGGAATAAAATTTCAATTCGAAATCCCCCACCAGGACAGATTTCCAGAGGGTCGTGCCAGCAGGCAGCAAGTTCACAACATTCCTAAAAAGCTGCTCTCGACTTTGTTGGGAGTCGGTACTGTCAGTGTCACAGTGTCAATGTTAGTATCATCGTCAAGTTATCAGACGATCACTATTTCCCACAAAGCTGTGATTGTATGTACGCAAATGAATTCAGGATCAGCAAGTGTCAAATGATGCAAGTCGAGTTCACACCGTTTTCTTGATAATAGAAACCTATACAAGCTTTGATTGATGTAGATCAATATGTGTGGGAATATAGCCTATTATCTATACCAATGAGCAGAGAAGATATCGGGGTCTCGAATGCGGCGCCGAAATATAAGTTATAGGGATAAGAATGGGAAAGCGAATGGACTCGACGGCAGCATAATTAAAGTGCTCCAAGGAATGCGCAATCAGTTCGAACTATCGGACAAAAGCCAAAGACAGCAGAACAAATTACTTGTCACACGAGAACGGGAACGAGGTGCTGTTTCAAGGTTCAATCATCTGAGATAAACGCTTAACAGAACATGTTTACGGTATAATATCTAGTGCAAAACTAAAGCTCTCGCGGTGAATATACTGCTAATTCGTCCGTCAATATATCCTCCCTGGGTCGTCCCGGGACAATTGACAGGTTAAGTGCAAGGCTGCGCTAGTGTAACGTATATAAATATATACCTGCATACTTGCATACATGCATACATACATACATACATACATACATACTTATAAATACATATAT